GTGCTATAACTTTCACTTTCAGTATTTCTTTAGTTGCATCCCATGTATTTTGATGTGTTGTATTGTCATTAAGTATTTTTTTAGTTTTTAAAGAATTTTTATTATATTTTTCCATTACCATTTACTTCCCTTATACTCTGTCTCTCCCACAATCCCCACCCTGTTGCCCATATTCATGAGTCCTTTTTCCTTTTTGCTCAATCCCTCTATCCCCTCATCCCCACACTGCCCTTAACTGTCGTCCCACTTTCCATCTATGAGTCTGTCTCTATTTTGCTTGTTAGATCAGTTTCTTCATTAGATTCCACATATAATTGAGATCATATGGTACTTATCTTTCTCTGACTGGATTATTTTACTTAGCATGATGTTCTCCAGGTCCATCCATCTGTCGCAAAGGGTAAAACTTTCTTTTTTTATGGCCAAGTAGTATTCCACTGTGTGAATTTCCCATAATTGTTTTATTCACTCATCTACTGATGGACACTTGGGCTGCTTCCATATCTTGATGATTGTAAATAAGGCTGCAGTGAACAAAGGGGTGCTTATGTTCTTTAAAATTAGCATTTTGGGTTCCTTTGGATATATTTCTAGAAGTGGGATCATTGGGTCAAAAGGCAGATCCATTTTAATTTTGCATTGTTGGTGTGAATGCAGATTGGTGAAGTCATTAAATCTTAATAGATTTTATTGCCTGGAAACTTTCTCTTTGACATATGTATTATTTAGAAGTGTGTTGTTTAATTTTCAAGTGTTTGAAGATTTTCTCTCATCTTTGTATTATTGATTTGTAGTTTGATTCCATCATGGTCATAAAATATACTGTATATGATTTTGTTTCTTTTAAGTTTGTTGAGATTTTTTCTCTGGCACTGGATGTAGTCTATCTTGGTGAGTGATTGATGGGCTTTCAAAAGAATGTATTTTGCTTTTATTAGGTGGGATGTTCTATGATGAGGATTTTGTTGGTTGATTGTGTTCTTCAGGTCTTCTATATCCGTACTGATTTTTATATCTGTTTTTGTTTTATTGGTAGCCGAGAGGGGGTTGTTGAGGTTCTCCACTGTAATTATGGATTTGATTATTTATCTTTTCAGCTCTTTCTGTTTTTGCTTCATGTGTTTTGAGACTCTTTTGTTAGGTATGTTGAGGATTATTATGTCTTCCTGGGAGTTGACCCATTCATCCCTTTTTGCCTTTAGTAACTTTCTTTGCTCTGAAGTCTACTTTATCTGATATCAGTATAGCTACTCTGCCTTTTTATTAATATTTGCATAGTATATATTTTTATATCCTTTTACATTCAATCTACCTATGCATTGAATTTGTAGAGTTTCCTGTAAACAGCATATAGTTGGGTCTTGTTTTTTATCTATTTTATCAATTGTCACCATTTAATTGATGTAGTTAGGTCATTTATATTTAAGGTACATTACTGATATATATTCTGGGGCTTAAGTCTGTCATTTTATTATTTTTAACTTTGTTTTCCATGTTTGTCATTTCTGTCTTTCTCTTTCTTGCCTTCCTGTGGGTTATCTGAACATTTTCTAGTATTCCATCTTGATTTTTTTATGTTATTGATTATATTGCTTTGTACAGTTTTCCTACTGGTCACTGTGGATGTTACTATATACCTCTATTGCTCTCAAAATTTTACCACTTAGCATTAAGTGATGAAACTTTAATTCTACTCATGGTCTTTTGCCACCCTCACTTTTAATTATTACTGTTTAGGTGTCAGATGGTGTTTTCACTTTTGTTTTGGCTATCACATATAATTTATAAAATTCATGATAGTATCATATTTATTAATATTTCTGCTCTTTCTGTTCTTTGTTCCTTTAGTATGGTATCATATTTACCACAGTTTATTTAACCACTCACCTGTTGAAGGACATCTGGGTTGTTTATAGATTTTGACTCAAGAATAAAGGTGCTATGAATACTCATGTATTAGCATGACACTCAGGTTTTTGTGTCACTATGAGCTTTCATTTCTTTGAGATAAATGCCCCAGAGAGAATTGCTGTGCCATGTGGTAATTGCAGGCTTAGTTTTCTAAGAAACTGCCAAACTGTTTTCTAGTGTGGTTGTTCTCACCATCAGTGTGTGAATGATTGAGTTTCTCTGCATACATATTTCTCTTTATATTGTTTTTCCCTTCCCAATACTCTAAGCTTCCTTCTGTTATCATAACCATTCTGTTTGAAGATCCTCCTTTACCCATTCTTTAAGAGTGGGTCTGCTAGGGACAAACACATTTTGTTTTCTTTTGTCTGAGAATGTGTTATTTCCCCTTCATACCTGAAGAATAGTTTGCTAGATACAATATTTACAGTTGAGAGTTCTTTTCTTTCAGCACTTTTGCCTTTCGGTGTATTGGTAAAAACAAATGGCATGGGAAATAGCAGTGGAACAACGATTTCCCCAACTGTTTTGAAAAATGACAATAGCCATGGTTCTTCCTTATCACCTGACCCCATCTCTTTATATATTGGTGAGTGTGAAATGATGCATATTACAAATAGTAGTATTTAACCTATATTCTTCAACATTCTTGATACAAGCTAATGGAAGCTTTTTTTCATTTTCTATTTTGACTGCTGTTTTTAGGTGATGTAATGATGACTTTTACTGAGTGTACATTATGTGCAAGGCACTGTGCTAATCAACTGATATGCCTCTTCTTTATTAATAGTCCCCATGCTTTAGGTGCTTTTATTACCCTCATTTCTAAAGTCACAGAGTTGGTGAGTGGCAGTTCTGTAATTCTAAACCAGTTTTCTCTGACTTTAAAACTTGTATTCCTTAGTAGTCTTCTGTATTGCCTGCCAAGCCACAGTGGCAGAGATTAAGGGACCCAATGTTTTCTGACCTCCAAAGGCAAGTCTCCTTAATATTTTATAGTTTGTGTATCTATTTCTAAATAGCTGGTCTTATTAATATCCTATCACAGGGCTCAGAAAACCTTTTCTGTAAAGGGTTAGATAGTAACTATTTTAGGCTTTGTGGGTCATCTGGTGTCTGTTTAACAAGTGCTCAACTCTGTGGCTGTAACATAAAAACAGCCACAGATGTAGGTAAGTGAATGGGTATGGCTGTGTGCTAATATGACTTTTATAAAAACTGGTGGTGGGATTGGCCTGTGGATTGCAGTTTGGTGATTCCTACCTTAGAGACCCTTTTCTTTTAAATTACTTTTTTAACCCAAACTAGAAGAAACTTTAAAAATTGTGCTTTTTATAATAGACGGGCACTATGATATGCTACTGTTAGATGTATAAATTGGTGAAACTTTCTCAAGGGTAATTTGTATAAAAATCTTAAAATTATTTATGTCAGTTGACTCAGTAATCCCACTTCTGTCCAAATATATAACTTAAAAAATTGTATTAAAATTTTGATATAAGAATGTGCCTTATAGAATCATGAAAAATTAGAAACAGACAAATAAGCAACCATAACGAATTAGTTAAGTAACTGTTGGTATATTCATGGTATGTGAAGCAGTAAAACATGGGCTTCTGAGTCAACTGCCTAGGTTAAAATCCCAACCCATATCACCTTCAGCCACTTATCTGACCTAAATATTAGTTTCTTTATCTGTGAAGTGGCAGAAATTATAGTGCCTACTTCATAGAATTGGGAGGATCATATAGGATAATTCATTTAAAGCTCCTGACACAATTCCTAGAGTGTAAGTGCAACATAAATGTCACCTATCAGGAAAATCATGATGACAGGGATGCAGAGTTGGAAATAAAAAAAAATAGAAAATGGGAAAATGCTCAAAATATAATAGTAACAGAAAAACCAGGATTCAAACTATATATAAAGTATGATTTCAATTCTGTGTTTAAAAAAGGAATAGAAAAATCATAGAAGATGTTAGTAGAAGATTAATGGTTCAGAGCACCTGTCTTACAGACAGACAGACTTAGATATTAAAACTGACTCTATAGTCCTGGCTGGTGTGGCTCAGTTGGTTGGAGCATTGACCCATAAACCAAAAACTTACAGGTTCAATTGCCAGTCAGGGCACATACCTAGGTTGTGGGTTCAGTGCCTCATCTGGGCATGTAGAGAGGCAACCAATTGATGTTTCTTACATCAATGTTTCTCTCTCTCTTTCTTTCCTTTCCTTTCCCTCTCTGTAGAGTCAATAGGCATGTCCTTGGCTGAGGATTAAAAAAAAACTGGCTCTATACCCAGAAGTGTGATCTTGTTCAAATAACTTAAATTCTCTAGGCCTTAATTTCTTCATATACTAAGTGGTATGAAGTTGTTAGGATCGTCATCCTAACAGCTGAGCTTATAGATGAAAAATATCTAGTATAGTACCTTTTATAATAGTAGATATGCTAGCTATTTTTAAATTTCTTAATTATACTCAACCATACTTTCCAATCATCTCCAGGAAACATATGCTTACTCGGTAATATATCTCTGAGTCTACTTTAAGAGTATGAAAGAGGCCCTGGCTGGTGTAGCTCAGTGGATTGAGTGTGGGCCTGCGAACCAGAGGATTGAGGTTTGATTCCCAGTTAGGGCACATGCCTGGGTTGCAGGCCAGTTCCCAGCAGGGAACACACGAGAGGCAACCATACATTGATATTTCTCTCTCCCTCTCCTTCCCTTCCCCTCTAAAGATAAATAAATCTAATCTTTAAAAAAAGAGTATCAAAGTGAGTAATGAAATCTCAGAGCAACATGTTTACATGTGTACCTGCAGCCTAATAAGTAAATGTATTGAAGACAACAGATTAGTTCAAGTATAACAAACTCAAGACTTTATTATAAAAGATGTAAAATGCTAACAATTATATAGATAACATCGCGTAACTCATTTAAGGAAAAGAACAGATAAGCATAGGGAAAAAATTCACCCAAGTAGAAATTTGTGAATTAGAAATCAATTAGGCTAAATTTCTTGGGCACTTTCATGGTAGCCTTGCCTGAAAAAACAAGGATTTTACTTGTTTCCTATATTTTTAAAGGATATCTTGGTAATCCAGAAAGAAATGTCACAATTCTTAAGATGCATTTGATGAATGCACAAAGGAAGCCTGAACCTAAGCATGCAGCCCGCTACCTGGCTCGTGTTTTGTTCTCCAAGGAAGTCCTGGTTTGCAGCTCAGTAGGTACAAGTCCGTGCCTACCAAATCTTAGAAACCGCCCACCCTTAGACCCAAACAAGTTGGCAGCCATAAGAGGTATGTAAGGGCATTATGGAATCTTGTTTTATCATCATTTGGTCGTTTGATGGATGTTATTAGTAGTTGAAGAAATAATGATGAAGTGTTGCTAAATCTTAGAACTGTTCATTTTTTCACCTGTCTGAACCAGATTATATAATTTAATAGTATGTAATGGGTAACAGCTTCTAAAGAATAAAACTTGTCAATAGACTGGTGGGATAAGATAGGCTTTATTAATGATAATTCCTATGGTTAGCACTAAGTCAGTTCTTCAGTGCTAAAACTTGGTACTAAAAAACAAAGAAAAGGCCAAAAAATAAATATGGGAAAATAAAACACATTTCAGTGCTAGAAACTGGCAACACAGAAGTAGAATCTCATGATTAATCCACTCAAGCCTCCTGCCTTCCAGAAATGTGTATGAGGGTCCTAGAACTCATAGGTACTGAGGATATAAAGATAAGTATTTCTGCCTGCAAGGAATTCACAGTTCGGAAAGGGGTAAGTTGAGGGAAACAATCAATTCCAATCCAATATGATAATGCTGTGGAAGCTCTGAGAGCAGAGCAACTATTTTGAGGGCATCAGGGAAAGCTTACTAAGGGCAAGACATCTGAGCTGGATTTGGAAGGATTCCTTACCTAAGTAAAGAAAATAGGAAGAGTATTCTAGGCAGAGAGAATAGCTTATGGGGAAGATAGACATGTAATGTGCACAAATAAACCGTGGTATAATAATATTTGCAATAATATTATTTTCTCTTTACAGGTTTCCTTTTATTTTTAGTTTGAACTTAATCATAGGGTCATTAAATGGCATTAGTACCCTGAAATGGTTGACCTTTTTTTACATACTTGTTTAAAGTACCAAAACCTCATTACTGGCTCCCTTGGTCAGTGTTTTAGGACTCTCACATTAGAAGAAATAAGATATTCAGAAAAGCATCTTCTTTGGGTAGAATTTCTAACCAGTCAGAAAGAGTTAGAAAAAAGAATGACAATTAAAAATGGAAGATTTCAGTATTTTAAATAAAAACTTTCTTCTTATCAGTTACTTTGTTAACTTTTTTCTAATATTCATGAATGCTTTCTGCTACTTGCAGAGTTCCTGGCAACAGTTTTTCCCAAACGTGATTTGGATGAAAATGGAAAAGAGTGGAGAACCTGTCTTAACTATATCAGTGCTCTGATCCGCTATTTAGGATCTACAGTCAGAGGGACACCAGTAAGTTATTTTTCATCTAAATATGGTCTCTGCTGTACAAATGCATACTGTATACAACTCCAGAATCAAAAGCACAACACACAAGATTTCAGGCGTGTGGTCAAAATCCTGTTTATTTAGTTTAGGGGCAGAATATGTTCTCTAAAAAGCATACTGCCTGTTTTTTTCACTCTTTGCTATTTATTTTATGCATAAAAATATCCCAAATATAAAAAATATCAAATATCCAATATAAGGTTATAGTTAGTATATTTGAACCCAAAGGCTATACTATAAAAAGTTTCAGCTATGAAGATATTTGACAAATGTTTTTCAGTATCCCACTGAGCAGCATGTGGTACTACTTAGCTGTGCCAGTAATAGTTAAGGATGGCACAGGAGAAAAGGAAAGCACTATTACTTCTTCACCTTCAGTAATGGTAGAACCTAGTGAAAATAGTGCATGTCATGAGGTTAAGCTATCACAGATATTTTATATTCTGTATAATTACATGGTAAACAGGAATCTGGCTTGCCTCTCATCTATTCTATATTCAAAATAAATAGAGACTTTTTAATGTGAATGGGCCATTAGGGAAACATGTTATATCTATTGCCTTCTCCTGATGACCTTAACAACAATTCCTAATTTCCACCCACTTCTCTAAAAACCCCATTTTATTTTTACCATGTCTAGTCACTCCTGTGTCTCTAGAGTAACCTTATGGAAACTATTTGCCACGAATATTTGTAGCTGAGCTTATGTTTTTGTGGTGAATGACTCGAATTCAGTGATAGCTCAAGCACCATCTGTAACCAAATTTGCTTATTTTTCACATTCCCTTTTATAGCCTACAAAAACTACACCCTAAACATTTGAATGTAAAATGAAGATACTGCCTGGAAAGTGGTAATTTTCACATTTGCTTAGATATCAAAAGAGAAGCGCATCTGCCAATTGCCTGCTGTGTACTTGGCTAGGAGTAAGATAGGTCCTTGCCACTCAAAGTGGGTCCATGGACCAGCAGGAGCAACACCGGAAAGCTTGTGAGAAATTCAGTCTTGAGTTCTACACCAGACTCACTGATACAGAATTTGCATTTTAGCAATACCCCCAGCTGATTTGTGTGCATATTAGAGTTTGAGAAGCCCTCACCTACAGTAATCATGGTCAACCCTGGGTACATATTAGAATCACATGAGACACTTTTTAAAAAATATATTAACTCCCTCACTCCCTCACTCCCTCACTCCCTCACTCCAGAGGGAGTGAACCAGAGGTTCTGATTGAATTTGCTGAGAGTGAACCTAAGAAGAGCTTTTTTTTTTTTTTGAAAGATCCCTAAGGGTAATTCAACTGTTCATTTGTGTAGCCAAAGTTGAAAGCCATTGGGGAAAGGGAAAACAAACGAAAGCTGTGATTTTCAAGAAACTCATTTATTCATTTATTCATGAAATATTTATTTTCTGCCAGCAATTATCATTCAGTTCATTAGGTAGAGCTACCAAGTCCCCAAGAGGCAGCAATCATGGCAGCTTGAAGAGTAGTCTACACCTATAGTTTTTAGTCATAGCACAAAATATCTTTGAGTTTTAGCACGTCTTATTAGAGACAGTTGCTTCCCTACCAGCCTGGGGGGCCCGGGTAGATGATAGAGCATGTCCATATTTTCTCACTATGCAGCCTTGTTTATAGATGCAATTTTGTGTTTCACCAGGAAATTGTTGTCACAACCAACCCCAATATACAAGCATCTGCAAATTTGAACAATAATAGGGATGGTGATGGTGGTGAAGGTAGTTCCCAGTTATCGCAGCAAGCAGCTGTCTCACAAGCAAGAGCAAGGGGAGATTATCAGCCAAACAGCAGTGCTGTCCCCGGAGGAGTTGAAAAACCTTCCACTAGTGATTTACCCATACCTTTTGGAGCAATGGGTGAGTTTTAAAATATGTTCTCTTGACATAGAATCTGACTGATCCTTTTATGGGGCTTATTTTACTGTCTTTCTACTTTTATATATGTTTGAAATTTTTCAAAATAAGAAATCTAAACAACTTAATCTCTTAATGAGCTATTGAAATATAAATACCTAGTTCTGAGACTGATAGTTTTGAAAAGGAATTTATTTATTTTTAGAGAGACAGGAAGGGAGGGAGAGAGAAAGAGAGAGAAACATCAATGTGTGGTTGCCTCTCACACACCCCCTCCTAGGGATCTGGCCTGCAACCCAGGCGTGTGCCCCAACTGGGAATTGAACCAGCAACCCTTTGTTTTGCAGTCTGGTGCTCAGTCTACTGAGCCACACCAATCAGGGTAGTTTTAACATTAAGTGAAATCTGTTATTTTTCTTTTGGAAAGCAGTTCTCAGCCAACTCCTTTGACTCATGTGAACTCTCAGGTTAGATACCCTGCTATGCAAGTAAAGATGAAGGATCTACAGCTGGCTGAGACAGAGACAATTCAGGGGTCTTTCTATCTGTGTTGTGCACATTGTGGTGTTCTATAAAAAGTTTTTGCGTGAATTAATGAATCCCATTCCTCAGAACATTGTACCCTCATGCCAGCTGTATGCTGGAGATGTACCCTGCTTCATTAGTGTCAAGTGGCAGTGAGTTTTCTAGGTGACTCATGTTTCCCAATGACCCCTCCCTAGAGCTCTGGGACTTAGGAACACCTGACATAGCAAAACTATCTTCTGTCTTTCCTCTGCTCCCTATGTTAACACTAAGTAGAACATTACCTGTGAAACTCTTCATATAAAATTATTTTTCTCCAACTTCATTTCTTTTTTCACTATATTCACTAATAAAATATTTACTCATTCACCAATAGAATTATATAGGTTTCAGGTGTACAATTCTATAATACATCTTTGTATTGTGTTTATCTTCCCAAATTAACTCGGCTTCCATTACCATTTATCCATCCTGTACCCTCTTGTACCTCCCCACCCCCTCCCCTATAGTAGTCAGTATACTGTTTTCTGTGTCTATGATTTTTTTCTTAATCCCTTCATCTTTTTCACCCAGCCCAGCAACACCCCTGTGACAGCTGTCAGTCTGTTCTCTATGAGTTTGTTTTGTTTATTTTGTTCATTAGATTCCACATACATGAGTGAAATCATATAGTATTTTTCTTTCTCTGACTGACTTATTTCATCTAGCATATTGCTCACCAGGTCCATCTATGCTGTTGCAAAAGGTAGATTTCCTTCTTTTTTAAGGATGAGCAGTATTCCATTGTGTAAATGTACCACAGCTTTTTTATCCACTCATCCATTGAGGGGCATCTGGGCTGCTTCCAAATCTTGGTTATTGTAAATAACGTTGCAGTGAAGATAGGGGTGCATATCACCCCTATCAAATCAGTGTTTGATAGGGGTGCATATCACCCCTTTCAAATCAGTGTTTCAGGTTTCTCTGGGTATATTCCCAAAAGTAGATTCACTGGTTCATAAGGCAGTTCCATTTTTAATTTTTTGAGATAACTCCAAACTGCATTCTATAGTGGCTGCACCAGTCTGCATTCTCACCAGCAGTGCACGACAGTTCCCTTTTCTCCACATCCTTGCTGACACTTGTTTAAATGATACATCTTCATAGTATGTTTTTCCATTATAAAAATAATATAACTACTGTATTTGTTAAGATTATGCATGGCAGATGAAATCACTGGATGAATAGCTCCTAGATTTAAAGAAGCAAAGAACAAACTGAGCCACAGGCAGGAGCCAGAATGGGGATCCATGTCTGTAGCTTCCAAGATATCTAGATTCTAGGTTTCTCTTGTCTCACTGTTCAGATTCCCAGAAAAAAGAATTTGATTTGGGGAGGTTGGGTCATAGGTCTCTGACCCCGACTTAGCTACAGCTAGAGGACAGGGCAACTAAGTGCGTTGTGAGCCAGGCATATGCCCCAGTTTCTGTGTACTCTATTATACCATTTTATGTGAGAAAAAAAGGAAAAATATTTAGGAGGGAAGACCAAGATACTTTAAAAAACTATTGTGGATGTTTTAATTTTATTCCACTTTTTTCTTACAAATCTTTTAAAACATTATGGTCTCCATATAATAACTCTTCTTTTAAAACATGACATGTATGTTTTTCCTTAAGAATCTCCAATCTTTTAACAGCTATATAACATTCCATAGGTATATAATATTAGAGTAAGTGTACCATAATTTATTTAACTACATTCTTCTTTTTGTTATTGCATTTTTTGGATGGGATTATCAATCATGCAGATCGTGCTGTCATAAGTCCTCAGCTTCATTTGTGTAACTTTTTACACATTTAAAAAATATTTTATTTATTTATTTTTAGAGAGGGGAAGGGAGGGAGAAAGAAAGGGAGAGAAACATCAATGTGTGGTTGCCTCTGGTATGCCCCCTACTGGGGACCTGGCCTGCAACCCAGGCATGTGCCCTGGCTGGGAATCCAGCCAGCAACTCTTTGGTTCACAGATCAGCACTCAATTTTTACACATTTTGGATTCTTCTCTTTTTCTACAAAAGATTTTATTGCCCTGGCTGGTGTAGCTCAGAGGATTGAGCTTGGGCTGTGAACCAAAGTGTCGCTGGTTCAATTCCCAGTCAGGGCGCATGCCTGGGTTACAGGCTGGGTCACCAGTGGGGGCCACATGAGAGGCAGCCAGACATTGATGTTTCTCTCTCTTTCTCCCTCTCTTTCCCTCTCTACAAATAAACAAAACCTTAAAAAAGATTTTATTTTTTTTATTTTTTATTTTTATTTTTTTAAATATTAAATTTTATTTAGTTACTTTTCAAGTACATTTTTTTCTCTTCCCCCCCCGCCCGGTCTCCCCCTCCCTCCCCGTTCCCCCCCCCCAGTCCTCATCTCTGTGTCTTTCATACTTGTTCCTCAAAATCCCTCCCCCCTTTTTCCCCTTAAGTTCCCTTCCCTCTCCTCTCTGGTCGCTGCCCACTTGTTCTCTATTTCAGCGTCTTTGTTTTTATTCTGTTTGCTTGTTTGTTTTATTCTTTAGCTTCCTGTCAAAGGTGAGATCATATGGTATTTGTCCTTCAATGCCTGGCCTATTTCACTCAGCATAATGCTTTCCAGTTCCATCCATGTTGTTGCAAAAAGGTAGTAGCTCCTTCTTTCTCTCTGCTGCATAAAATTCCATGGTGTATATGTACCACAATTTTTGGATCCATTCATTTACTGATGGGCACCTAGGTTGCTTCCAACTCTTGGCTGTTGTAAATTGTGCTGCTATGAACATTGTGGTGCATAGGTTCTTTGAAATTGATGTTTTAGGATTCTTGGGGTATAATCCTAGCAGTGGAATTGCTGGGTCAAAAGGCAGGTCAATTTTTATTTTTCTGAGAAAATTCCATACTGTTTTCCATAATGGTTGTACCAGTCTACAATCCCACCAACAGTGAACTAAGGTCCCCTTTTCCCCACACCCTCTCCAACATTTGTTGTTTGTTGCTTTGTCTATTATAGCCATCCTGACTGGTGTAAAGTGGTATCTCATTGTGGTTTTAATTTGCATCTCTCTGATAGCTAACGATATTGAGCATCTCTTCATGTGTCTCTGGATATTCTGTATGTCCTCTTTAGAGAAGTGTCTGTTCAAGTCCTTTTCCCATAAAAAAGATTTTATTTATTTATTTTTAGACAGAAGGGAAGAGAGAGAGAGGGGAGGGGAGAGGGAAACCACTGTGTGGTTGCCTCTTGTGTGCCACCTACTGGGGAACTGGCCCACAACCCAGGCATGTGCCCTGACTGGGAATTGAACCAGGGACCCTTTGGTTCTTAGGCTGGTGCTCAATCCACTGAGCAACAGTACCAGAGTGGATTCTTTTCTTAAGTGAGGTTCTCAGAGTTTGAATTACCAAGTTAAAGAATATTAACTCTTATCTGGCCCCTCATTAGTATTGCCAAGTTAATTTTCCAGAGTTACATCTTCAGACCCACTGAGTAAATTTTTAAGTAATTTCATCTCTGTTGGTAAATGTTGGGTCTGAGGGATTCAACAATTTATACTACCATCCATTAAATGATGGATGTTACAGGATGAAAACTATGCTTCTTGACTTATAAGAATCAGATTATATTTCTCTAATATATTTTTAACAAATAATTTTTTATTATATGTAACATATATGTTTTAAGTATGTTAATTTGAGTCACTTCTGGATTGAAGAGAGATGGTAATGATTAGGTTATAAAATTGAGAAATGAAAATAGTCTTAAAATTTAATTTTCAGTTCAAATAAGTTATCTAAAATATGATATCTAAGGTGAGTTTGTTGATTTTTAAATGAGTTCATACCAAATAGAAAACCTGCATTTTAAAATTGATAAACATTTCAGTAAGAATCATGGTGCTTATTTTTGAAAAAGGCATTTTTTATAAGTAAGAAAACAAGGTATTAAAATGACTTAGAATTTGTTATTTAATATGATGTAAAACTGACCTAAAAGGTAGTAGACAACTGACTTGTTCTCTTAAACCAACAGAGAATGTGTAATCACACCAGCAGTGATTACTGTCTCATATCTCATGCTGTCTTATGATACACTAAAAACTTAAAAGCTTTAATTTTTTAGCCAAATTCTTAAACCTGAAAATTCAGAAAAATCTGCCTTTCTATTAAGCCTGTTTAAAAACATGAGCCTAACATCTGCCACAACAATTGACATCTTTCTCTTTTGTTTCTAGATTACATTGGAAATCCAAGTAGAAATATAAAGTTATCACATTCAGTACTGTTGGTAGCAAAAAGGAAGGCTTCCCCAGAGATGTCAGCTAGATACCTTGTAGACTACCTGTTTCCAGAGGAGATCCTATTAAAAACTGATATCTGTCCCAATCCGTGGCATGGAGTATGTGCCGTTAACTTCAATAAGATGAATGCTCTCCGAGGTTTGTACATACTGAGTATGTGAGAATAAATAAGTGCCAATTGTGGTAGAGAAGGGCAAAAAGAAAAATCCATTCAGTCTGTGTGTGTTCTGAGGAGAGGGAGCTCTTATATATGGCTCATTAGGACATAATAGGGAGCAGGTTTATGAATTGTGTTTCTTTTTGCATTTGGGTGCTTGGGGCTAATTCCTCTGTTTTAAATGACATTATTATAACAGGAAGGCATTATTGACTGTGGCTCCCTGGTATGGACTGCCAGGAGTTTGGAAATTCAAACATCTTCATTTACTGAGGATCAAGGTCGAAGCTGCTGGGTTTTGTCAATTTGTAGAAGTGTCAACAATAGCACAGCAGGCTAATTTGCCAGTTTTTTTCTTGTGCACAGGAGCACAGTATAGTCTTGGTCTGTGACATATATGGATGAAGAAATAAAGCTTCCAAAAACAGTTGTTTGAAATCTTACATTTGGACGAAGCAGGAAACAAAATAGTTCTTATTTGTGTCACTGGTATCCAGCAGACATAGTTCTGAGCTGCAGCCTGATCTCATTTGGTTCCCACTTTCATTATCACACATTTCATATCCAACAAATTTGAACAAAACTCATGTTTCAGTCTAAGCTAAAGAAACCTGGCTCATAGCACCTTTCTTAAGCATTTGCTAAGCATCTAATCCAATTGTTTTCAAACTGTATTTTTACTGCAATCTATAGTAAGAAATACATTTTATGTTGTAACTCAGTACATATGTGTGATTTTTTTAAAACTAAGTAAAAATTTCACAAACAATACTTACTCTTTCTACAAGAGTTACATTCTATTCTATTTTTTCTATTCTACTGCATTTTTGAAAGCACTGCTATCACTGATTTCATGACCTAGTAATTGGTCACAGTTTGCAATTTGAACATCACTGAGCTAACACTCAGGGCCAAAAAAAAAAAAAAAAAAACCCAAAACCCAATTCCTCTTACTTTAAGTAAAAAAAGAACACTATGTTTGTAACCAGTTTGGAAAGAAAGTGTTTATAGAAGAAAGTCTTTCTAATGAAAAAAATTTAAGTGATGAGTAAAAAATGACTTTTATAGTTCTTTGAATATCTAGACTAATTCCTTAAGGTAGACTTAAAGTATTATTTCACTTTATCTTTTAGTTGAATTATATTATAAGTCAAGATGTCTTTTGCATGAGAAATATTTAGCATGAGTTTGACATACTATCCACATGGGGCATATTTTAACAAATTTCCCATGAGACTCAAAGGAATAGTCCTTTGAAGAAAGGCAGCCATGTGAGTTATTTCAGCAAAGAGAATACAGTAGAATCATTGTTATCCTGGGGGACAGAGCCAGGTCCAAGGAAGAGAAGGTGACAATAAAGCATATTTTACTTTATTGTAAGGAGAAAATGAACTTGGAGAATGAAAGGAGTTAGAGCAAATGCTGAGTGATCAGATATGAGAGGAGATATCTTTACTCATAGAAGGACTGGGCTTTATGACTTCTAACATTTCTTTAGAAGTGTCAGTTCAGCATAAACTCTCAGAAACATATAGAAAGGCAAGGGACTAGTCAAGGAACAGGTCTGAATGACCCATGGACACGGACAACAGTGTGGGGATGGACTGTGGGAGTGGGGGGTGGGTTGGGTGGAGGAGGGCAAAGAGGGAAAATGGGGACAACAGTAATAGAATAACAATAAAATATTTTTAAAAGAAATTACTGAAACTAATGTAGTAAAATAATAAACATCTGTTTACCCAGTACAGATATAAACATTTTGCTTTTTGTGCTCCAAGTATTTTTTAAGATTTATTTTGCTAGCAAATCACTTTTCTTTTATCATGACTTAACAAGAGTTCTTTCTTTTTTTTATAGCTTTAACTTCATTTTTATTATTGTTCAGTTACAGTTGTCCCCATTTTCCTCCCAGTTGCTGCCTCCTGCCCCATCTAACCCCTGCTCCCAAAGACAATTCCCAGCCCATTTTCCTTGTTCATGGGTCATTTGTACATGTTGCTTGACTTGATCCTTCCCCCTCTCTATTTTTTAGAGAGGGGAAGGGAGGGAGAAAAACAGGGAGATAAACATCAATGTGCAAGACATATGCAAGAGAAACATCCATAGGTTGCCTCCCACATGTTCCCTACAGGGGACTTGGCCTGCAATCCAGGCATGTTTCCTGACTGAGAATTGAACTGGTGACCTTTTTGTTTGCACCCCGATGCTCAGTCTACTGAACCATAATAGCCAGGGCCACTCCAAGTTTTTTTTTAATAATAAAGCATTATTGATATCATTAAAACTCCGTCCCATCATTTCTTTTTCCTCTCTTTCTCTCCAGAAGTAATCACAATCTTGGAGTTGGACCTGTCATCCCCATGCATATTTTATACTTTTTCTACCTGTAATAGACCAATAAATAATATGATATTGTTCTTTAGTTGTTTTAATGTGCATAAATGGGGATGTACAGTATATATCCTTTAGTGAATTTTTTCACTTGACATTATGTTTTAGAGATCTACTTTATGCATTTTAACTGCTGATTGGTTTCCCATTGAATAAATAGTTTACTTTTCTATTAATATAATTTCTTATCTTAAGATTTTATTACTTGGGGAGACCACTTCTGGAAATCAGTAGTCAAAGGTTAGAATGTCAATAGCCAAAGGTATTGATTTCTTATTAGAAACTATTATTTGATGCTTTCTGGTGAGAGTTCACTATCACTTAAGAGCTCTTTAGAGAATACTTTATATGGAGAAAGTTAGTAGGCTGCAGATTTGCAATCAGTGAACAACCCTTATGCCTTCCCATCCATTTTTACGTATTGCAGAACTGTAAAATCTTAGCAATAGGAGGTACATTATAGGTACTCTAAAACAACTTCCTACCCAGAGCATGGTAAGCTTACCTATCTTGGCTTTGACATGTAGTCACTTCCCCTTGGCTTGAACACTTCACTGATGGCAGTCCACTAAATTTTATTTATTTATTTGTTTGTTTGTTTGTTTATATTTTTAGTCAACTACATTTTTAGAGTGTTTTTTAAAAATCCTCACCTGAGTATATTTCACTGGTTTTAGAAAGAGGGGGAAAGTGTGGGGGGTGGCAGGGCGGAGTACGAGAGAAGGAGAGATTGGTTTCCTCCCATACACACCCAACTGGGGATCAAACCCACAACCTAGGTATATACCCTGACTGGGGATTGAATCTGCAACCTTTGGTGTACAACATGCTCCAAGCCATTGAGCAACCCAGCCAAGGCTAGCTCTCTGCATTTTAAATGGTCTCTAAGTGATGAGAAAGATCTTCCTTCAAGTGGCTCACAATTTATCTCCCTTCAACTGAGACATATTTATTCTACTTCCAGAGCTACTTAGGGTAGATCCAATCACTTTTCATGTGATAGGCCTTCAGGTATTTAAAGATAGCTATTATTTCCTGCTGGATCATCAGGAAGTAATAAATATAGCCTCTACCCTTCTACTTTCAATTCAGAACCAAGTGAGATCCTGTAAGATCTGGAGGTGGAGATAAAAATATCAGCTTTATTTTTTATTATACATGCTTAGTTCTTCCAAACTTTCTAATGTAGAGATGAGGAGTTTTTATGAGGAAGCATGAAGATTGGAAAATGAGTGGTGTTCCCAACTTTTCCCCACTAAATCTTACACTTTAATAGTTAAATATTTCCATTTCCTTTGGTGGTTCCTCCTATAAATAAATTTCTAATCTTTCACCATCTGATTTGGTGACTAATTTCAGATAAACTCAAGTTAACCCAGACTTTTCAGTGGGGACTAACTCTGAAGTGTAGCTTTTATCATTTGCACAATCCAACCAAACTTCAAGAAATTGTTTTTGTAACTAGTGTTTCAGTGAACAGTTTGGGAAACACCAACCAATTCAGCCTCCTCATTGAAGCCTCTTGAAAGCTTCACAGTTGCTGTATTTGTCTTCCGGTCTCTTATCTGTCATTGTTTTTGCCGTCATGGACAGATGGGACAAACCTGCTTTCTGTAACTCCTTTTTTGTTAGTAAAAATATTCAATGAGATAAAGCCTGATACCAAGTTCAGTGACAACACTATAAGCCTCCTTCCAGGCTACCACTTACCTATTAATTAGTCCTTTGAATATGAAAGCTTTTTAACTTTGTTAATTTCCCAGCCTATTAATCCTACAGAAAAAGCAAATGAGATTAATAAGCAAATCCTATTAAAAAGCAACTAATGCTGGCCTGTAATGATCGCTATATCCATTTTTAGGGGATCAGAGGTGCTTATGAAGTGATCCAAAAATGTATTTGAGGCAGCTTTGCTTTTGTAGTTAACACCTCTCTTTCCTACCTTGCCATTTGCCTTTCCTTTCACTTTCTCTAAGAGAGTTCTTTGAGCTGTGTTGCTCCGTCACTTTTCCTTATGGAAGTTTTCCTCTAACTCACAGGTAGCAAACATAAGGCCCACAGGCTGAATCTGGCCCTCCATTTTGTTTTATCCGGCCCAGCACCTTGTTTCTACCTGGTGGCAGCGCTGAGCTCTTGCCTAACTGCTAGGGAGTAGTTACATTTATACAGTTCTAAAATTACACTTGGCCCTTTGAAGGCAACCACAAGGCTGTTGTGGCCCCTAGTGAAAATGGGTTTGACATCCCTGCTCTAACTACAAGATCTAAACACTCTCATTCCTTTTGTTTGTGATAAACCAAGCAACACTACCAAATTTAGCACTTATAGCTTCTTGCCTCTAAAATATGAGACACACTGCAGCCTCTTGTGTGTTGCAAAGCTTTGGCATGTCTCCATTTGATATAATGAATAACATACCATGTTTCATAAATTGAAGAATAAGAAAAGTTTACATTGGGTACCAAAAGCAGCAGAGGATTTCCATGCTGGTTATGTAGCAAGATCATGGGATGTTGTTGTTCTATCATGATGTAAGAATGGTGCTATTTCACATTATTATCCTCTTAGATGAAAAGATTTGTTAAGCTAATTTAATAATAGTTATAGTCCATGTGTTTTAATTGATTAAAGTCTTGACCATTTGACAGATATAGCAATAGAACTAAGGTTGAATAAATTAATTTCTCTAAATGATTACTTAGTAATTTATGTTTTGGGACTTTACCACCAGAGTTTCTCCAAGAGGTCTTCCCGAAATGTGATCTATCAGAAAATGGACGTGACTGGAAGTTTTGTTTACACTCTATGAATTGCTACATCGGTCGTTGTAAAGGTGTACATGGGAATTTGATATGCGAATCACTGCCACCTGAAGTAATAACTACTACAGTAAAGTCAGAGTCAAGTGATACTGACTATAGTGATTAAAGTACTTGAATGTCAGCTATTCTATATTTTTTCACTGTTGCATTATCCTGTAAGTTTTTCAAGATATAATTCCAAAATTAACCTGCTATAGTAGCAGTGTAGTTCTACATTCATACCTGAAGAAAAAGCCAGTGTTCTTTTTATGCCCACATACAAAGGGGAATTGCATGAGGAAGATGTGTAGTTTTTCATCTCATGAGCAAAGTGATGAGCAGTATTGTAATAAGAACCTCTGATTGAGGAAATGTTGGTAAACTCCTAAAGGTTGTTTTCATTGCTATCATAATGTAGAATACAAATAGTGCAGATATAGGTAATAAGATAGAGAGCCATAGCTGGATAGGCAAACCATGATGTTGACTTTAGGAACTTGTAGGTAGTAGACATGATATTTGTCAAGTGATCCCAGCTTACATGTAAGGTCCACTGATTCAGAAAGGAGGTGTGGTTCACATATAACCTGAACACCCATGCTGGTTTTCTTCTATATCCACCAGTAGGGGATTTGTAGAACTGACATTATATTGTTTGACTTAACTTTTCTGGAGATAAGACCTATGTTCTTTAGATTGATTCCAGATAAAAACAGTATTCTTTTAATTACCTCCTGATAATATTTTATCACAAAAGTTTGCTAAAAGTTAACTTAGAAAAGCATATCAGCAACTTTTGGATTCCATCAAAGAAAATTGAATTTAAGAGTACATCACTATGAATAAAAAGAATCTGATGATATTTAGACAGATTTAAGTTATTCAGATTATTTCATTGAAGGTAGTCTTTGGCTTCACCATCCAGTTTCACAAATAACTTTACAAACTTCTGGTAATACAGCTAATGTAGAAAAATAAAATTATATCCTAGGCAAGATTAAATTTTAGGTTGTATTTGCTGATTTCAAATTTGAGTGGTATTTTATGGTATCTGAACTCTTCCCTGTATTAGAAGCAAAATTACAAAAACAAAAAGTTCATATTTACAAAAACTTTTCAAGATTTATATGGTTAATTTTATTATGATGGTTACTTACATAACTTGTGAGACCAGCCCTGTTCAACTGAACTTTTCATTATATTCTGTAATTTTAGGTTGTCCAATAGTTGCTAGGCACATGTGGCTCTGGAGCACTTGAGATGTGGCTAATTAAACAGAGGAACTCAATTTTAAATTTTATCTTAGTTTAGCACAGCTTAGACTGCCCTTTATTATTTTTAAAGTATTTGAAATGGTACCCATGGTTTGACTCCCTGGAAAACACATAACTTCCCTAAAATCACACTGATTGAGCAAAATAAATTTCATAAGGTGCTTAAAATTTAATAGTACTTTTATTTTTATTAAAATTATTGGGGTGACATTGCTTAATAAAGTTATATAGGTTTCAAGTGTATGATTCTATCACACACCAGCTGTATATTGCATTTGACCAGCCAAAGTCAAATCTTCTATCACTATGGTATTTTCTTTTTGTATTTTATTTTATAATATATCAGACCTTTTCTGTTACCAAAATTTCACAGGTTTATTCATTCATTGTATTAGTCCAATGTACTGGATAGGCAAATGTTAAACACTTAAGTGTCTGTTTATAAGACTTGTTTTTGAGAGTTGTATTTAGTATATTTTGTTTTTCAAATAAATCAATTAAAATATAAAATGTTCTTAATACAGATGCTTGGGATTTTTTATTGCATAATTTTATAGAACTTTTACTAATGTCATTTATAGTATTTTTTCAAATAATGATGACATATTTTTTTGGCCATGTCCATCAGCGTGGCACAGTTAGAATGTTTGCTTTCTTGCTTGATAAGCAAAACAGTAGTTTAACCCAGTAACAACATTTTACTATTGTGGATGTAATTGTCAGTTATTGACAACTTTGGAAGTGTTTTGTCCTTCCTGGGTAAAATATGCGTTACTAAAAAATAATAATTTATACCTCAATATTTATTTAAGTATATGCTAATAGTTTCAATTTTGGCCATCAAGGCTTAGATTCTCAGCCCTGGTTTTAGTTTTTCTATAACCCATATCCACATTTAATACAGTATAGCAGTCCCTTCTTATCTGCAGGGGTATGTTCCAAGACCCCCAATGGTTGCCTGAAACTGCACCAAACCATATATAAGAGGTCTGTCCAGAAGGTATCCAGCTATGTATATGAAAAATAGAGACATTTATTGAAGAAAATAAAAGGAACATTGTACATAGGACAATGACACCTCAGTTTCCTTCAAAGAAGGCACCTTAGGACTTCTCACAGTTCTCCCAGTCACCATCAGTTGACCTGTCATATTTGCCTGAATCTCATCAATGGTCTGAACTCTCTTCCCTTTCAAAGGTTATTTTAGTTTTGGGAAAAGCAAGAAACAAGTCACAGGGCACCAAATCTGGGCTGTAGAGGGTCTGAGTCACCTGGGTGATTTTGATTTTTCCCCCCAAAACTCTGCATGAGACATGATGCATGAGCAGGCGTGTTGTTGTGATGAAGCTGCCAATCACCAGTTGCCCATAGCTGTGGTCTTCTGAATCATCCAAACAGTTTTCATTGAAGAATGTTCCAGTTTAACACAAAATTTGATGCAGATTTGTTGCTCTACTCATTGCTCACACATGTACATTTCAGTCCACTCTGCTTGGCTGCCAGGTTACATCCATGTTGTGCTAACTGTTCTCATTATATTAACTACAGATGGATTTTTCCTGGACAGACTTTATATTTATTTTTTCCCTATACATGCATACCAATGATAAAGTTTAAACTAATCTTGTACTTTGAAGCCATTATTAAGTAAAATAAGGATTATTTGAACATGAGCACTGGCATGGAGCAACAGTAGATATAATAACTGATAATCAATAGCTAAGTGACTAACTGGAGGGTTGGATTCAGTGTGAAGATGCTGAACAAAGGGATGATTCATGTCCTGGAAGGAACTGAGCAGGACAGTGTGAGACTTCACCAACCTACTCAGCATGGCACACAACTTAGAACTTATGAGGTGTTTATTTCTGGAATTTTCCATTTAATATTTTTGGAATTTGGTTGACCACAGGTAACTGAAGCTGTGGAAAGTGAAACCATAGATGGGGGGGGTAGGGGACTACTATACTATTTCTGCAGTATTCTGTAAGTGGCAATCTGCAATTACATTCACTCTTGTGTAGGAATGAAGCACTTGTCACCTCTTACTTCACCCAAATTTATTTTAACTCATAATACATTAAATTTGAGATTTAATGTATTATGTTTAGTTCTTTTTTACCACGATAAAAAATTGTAATCTCAAATCATTAGTAATATTTGAAAGGTTGACAGATGATAGGTATAAATTTCAGTACAACAGCACAGTTGAGCAAGAAATACTACTTTATTTTTCTGTAACAACCTAATTTCTGTGTTGATTACACAACTTCAAGGTGTTCTTGCAGACCTTCTGGTCAGATGGAGCAGGGAGTCCCAGTGTGGGGAGCTGTGTTTCAGCCCACTTGCCTCTGTGGAACAGGGTGAGGTACCCCGGGACCCTCCCAATTTTTTTCAGGCCTGCTGTCTGGCCTAGAGGGGTGAAAATCTATGCTTGGCCTTTCCTGTGAATTCATCCCTGTGCCTGGATGGAGCAGGAGAGCCTTCCAAGCCAAAGCACTGGGTTTGCCTTGGGGCAGCAGCTCCACCCACTCAGCTGCAGCAGGTTACTAGGTGTTCCCAGCAGCCCCTGCTGCAGTGGGCCTGGGAGCTGTCCTCCTCAGCAGCTGTGATTCAGCACCTTTCTTGTGTATGAGCAAACCAGGCCCTAAGACCAGTAAAACTCTACATTTGTGGACCCAAATCATACAGACCTGAATTCCGATGAGTTCCCTGGTCAAAGTGCAGCCTGACGTGGTTCTGCAGGTGAGCAAAGTGGCCGTTTGGGATTACTACTTGGGTGCTGCAAGTGGGGACTCATGGTCAAGATTGAGTGCTGGCTGTTGTGAGCCCCTCCATTTCTTGGTCTTAATCAGATTCCCAGTGATTGACCCCTGCAGGTTTCCCCATAGTCCCCCTGAGGTGAGGCTAGAGTAGGGGGTTCCAAAAAGCATCCACAATGCTTGGGCTCCGGTTGTCTCCCAGGCTATCTTTCTGCTGGACGAACTGGAGTCTTGGGAAACCTCTCCACATGATGCTGCGAGGGTTTGGGGCCAGGCAAGGCAGTAAGCCTGTAGCTGCATCTCCTACCTTCCTTAAGCAGTCTGTCTTGGTCTCTGTGTGCAGGGTGCTTCAGCCTCACCCTATGGTTTAGCATTCTCTCAGTGGTGTCTACTTCATGAGTTGTTTGTTGTTGTGGTGGTGGTGGGTGGTGAGGTGGGGTGGGGCAAGTCTGGAAGGACCCATGTCACCATTTTGTGACTCACTCTGAATTTCTATTTTGAGTCTCCATGCACTGGGAGTACAATCTTTGCCTTAGTCATTCACAGCTTTAGAGTTTCCCAGGCATGCAAGGAAAGAACACAAGACATAAATGGACATAGGTTTGGGAGAATACCAATGGGTGGGATTTTCATTCTTTTTTCAATTGCTTCTAAGTTTTGGGGCTGGGGAGAGGACTTCAGAATCAGGTTCTTGTAAGTTTTTTAGCCACCAACAGCTGAGATGTCTGTCTGTCCCACCAGGTCTTTAGTCATTGGCCCAGAGCCATCCTTATTCCTGTTCACAGTACCTGCTCACATGGAACAGTTTAGTTCTCTGTCCCTTCCAGGTCTTCCTCAAGCTCATAGGAATCAGTTTGTTTTGGTTTCATTATTTTGCATCACACAAAACGAGTTTTATCCAGTTCTTCATATACTTCCATGCAGGGCTGGCTACATAATTTCCAGGGCCCAGTGCAAAATGATGAATTCAGTTTTAAATAGCAGTTTTATTTTTTAACATTTTATTTTGGGATAATTTTGGACCCAGAGAATGATTGCAAAAATAGTACAGAGAATTCCCATATGCCCTTCACCCAGCTTCCCCTAAACGT